GTGGCCTCAGTACACAGAGCCTGGGGAAAGACACACAACCCATATAGGCTGAACAGAGGCAAAAATCTTCTGATCTGAAAAGAAGAGAGGAAATCAGGCCCTTAACACTTCTTCCTAAATCTAGTGTCCTCTTCAGCTGCCAGCCAGCTTAGCAGTGTGGTGTTTCACTCACTGGCACACTCCTCCTTAGCTTGATGAAATTATATTATAACTCCGTAACCCATGCCTTTGATTCGTGATTGTGCCTTCACTTTGCTGAGTTCTGAAAGGAATTGGAGAGGTTATTAATGACATAACAGTGATCACACAGCAAGTTAAAGCCTCTTGCTAAGTGAAACTTGTGGGAAAAGCATCCAGCTTTTCAATATTTCGCAGAAACACTTTATGTCTCTTTTCATTTGCAGCCAGACAGTTGCAAATTACATAAAATTGCTCCTGAAGAAGAGGAAGAAGAATAAAAGGAGGAAGTGGAAGGGGGAGGTTTAGAAAAGTAATTCTTCTGGCAAGGTACAGTTACAGTTTTATTTCTATGCAGAACAAAGAAGGGCTTGCTGAAAGGTAGGCAAGTAAGAGGCAGAAATTGGTATTAGTCCAAGCTAGGAATACGGGCAGTTCAAAAGCAGTGATGGGAATACTGAAATGTGGCTACATCATAGGGAGAACTCATGGGTGCAGAGACGCAGAAATGGAAAATTACAGAGAGCAGCAGCATGAGAGCAGAGAGAGACTATGGGAATGCACCAGGGGTTGACATGCTGCAGCACTAACTCAGATGGCTGGGCACAAGGATTAATGCAGAGACCCAGCAGAGCTTGAGCAGAGGGCATCCCTGTGGGTAGGCTGTCTCCTGTGCTGCCAGGAGCAAGAGCTCACTTGAGCCATCTGTCAAGATCCAGAGCCCGTGATGATATAAAGGAGCACAGGTGACTGGAGGGGCTTTGGTAGAGAGGTCATAGCATCTCATTCTTCCCTTCCCTCTCGTTTGTACAATTGCTGATGTGAAGGCGGCCTGGACCAGTATTTCTGAAAGTTTCTTCATGTGAACACTATGGGATATTGCAGCTGTCAAAGCTGGGGGATGTGCTGAGGAGTGGAGTAGGTGACCTGAATGTTTGGCTGGGGGCTGAAGCTGGGCCCCAGTTGTTAATCTTTGCAGCTTGAACCTTCGGGCAGGGTAGGGTGGAGAAGTTTTTCCCATGTCCATCCTGCAGGTTTAATAGACAATACTGGCAAATTCCTGAGAGCTGTGCAATGTTATTAGTAGAAGGTAATGATACAGAGAGCATGCTAAGGCTATCTCACTGAAGTGGCAGCACCAGAACATGAAGGTACTGAGCTAAAGCAGTCCCTGGACAAGAAGCAGCAGATGCGCCTGTTCACTGCAGGGAGGATTGCAAACGCTTGGGCTGTTGAGAGTTTGGCTTAAGGGGCTGAGAATATCGTACGGCAAGGCAGCTGTCCAGTGAAGTGCCAACACCGAAGAGGCTGGGGAAGAGCAAGCTTCCGAAGCAGACTTGGGCTCCTGTTGCCTATGGAATTGGAAGAATAATGAAATTAAAGATCAGCACCTGTTCCCGCATCTTGACCAAGTGCACACATGCAGGCTCCATCCTGTGCACAAGGGGCCTTCCTTTCTCCAGAGAAATGACTGCCCTTTACACAACCAGGCCCTTGCATCTCCCTGCAGCACAGAGCTTGGACTTTTGTCTCCCAGAGCTGATGTGTTCCCTGGTAAGCACGCTTACCTGTGCTTGTGAACACACATGCACCTATGCACCAACCCCCACAGACCTTTCGTCTTTGCAAAGGCACCCACCCTTCTGAGCAAGGCTTCACATTCCCATCTCCTTGGTTGGGGTCATTTGATGTGTGTGCCTGCACATGAGTGTTTTTGAATATGGATATAAATAGGATCAAAGAGTAATTTATGGTGGAAGAGACCTCTGGGATCTCTGGTCAGACCCCACTCAAAGAAGGGCTAATTACGTTAGATCACTGAGGGCCTTCTCCAAATGAGTTTTGACTATCTTCAAGGGGATCCTGCAGGCCTGGGGCCTCTCTTCTGGTCTGTCAGCACCCCTAAAAGGAAACAGCTTATCTAGTATCAGCCGTAATTTCTGCTGTTCAGCCCAGAAATAGCTCAGGAGATTCATTCAGTGGCACTGGGGCTTGGGCCCGTTTACTGTGGATTTTCACATGGCAGGTCTTTATTTCTGGAGATTTTGCACTGCTCAGACTGTTAATGTTAACGGTTGCCAAGGGAACTGGTGCAGCCGCTGTGTGCAGGCAGAGGGTCCTCCTGCTTGGCCACCTCTGCATCACCATGGTACAGAGATGCCTTTCCTGGCCACTGCCATTACCCTTCCATGGGGGAGAAGAAGTTGGGGCACAGCTGCACTGAGGAGCTGCTGATGCCCCCAGATGACAGGTCCAGAGCAACGGCAGCCTGTTAACCTGCCAGCACACCTGTAAGAGGCCTTTGCAGCCTCTGCAGACCCACTGTGTCACTAGCTCGGACACTCGCTGCCCTTGCTCTGCCCTTCCCCAGTTTGCTGGGGTCCATGGGGCTCCAGCTTGTGCATGGAGAAGCACCTGAGCGTGCTTGCTGGACCAATGAGCACAGGGAAAGGTGAGTGTTGGGTGTCTTCTCCAACCAGCCTAGCAAAATGATCGAAGCCAGCTGAGGGTGGCAGTGCTCTCAGCTTTTCCCTCTGCAACTTTCTTGCACTTGCTCATAGTAACTTGGTGACCCATCTCACCTACATCTTATCCCTGCTTTTTGTAGGCCTGCTAAGCACTTTCCACCTTGCTGGAAGTGACTCTTGTCACAAGGGCATCCTTGGGCAAGTCTCTGTCTCTGCTGAAGTAAAATTCTGCAGCTGATGCAGGACTGTGGGCTTGACCACCCAGCCATGCCTGGATCCTCAGGCCCATGGCTTTTCGGAGCCCAGAGTGATCTCTTGTGGTCTTGATGAACTTGCTGGAGCAGTTTTTTGGGTTTTCAGTTCTGTCAGCCCTTTCTTGCAGCAGTGGGGAGGAGCAGGAGGAAGTTTGGAGCCAAATAGTACTCTTCTCTGCCCTGCTATAAAGCCCCCTGGAAAACAGAAGAGTACTTGTCTGAATGTGGCCCAGGATTTTTCTTCCTCTTGCCTCTTGAGGAAACTTGCCTAGCACCTCTAGAAAAGGATTTGAGAAAGTTGGCACTTTCCTCTTCACCTAAAAAAGCTCTTTTGACTTTCAGTGACACTAATCACAAGAGAGAGATCAGGGCAACAGATCATGCAGTGTTCTCCTTAATGCAGTGCCCTGCTGTGCACTGAAACATCAAGCAAGGAGCCCCATGAGGACAGACTGACTGATCGTGGAGTCATGAGGGACTGCACTCAAGTGTGTCTGCCACACAGTTACATACCTGATTTTAAAGATTTTTTCCCAGCCCAAATGATTCTTTGGTTCTACAATAGGAGCTGGAATTGCCAAGTTGGGTGGACCCCCCTGCTGATTGTCTGGTGTTCTTGCACGGCAATGGTGCTGTCACTTCCCTAGAGATACCAGGGTGATCCAAGGCTTTCTGAGTCATGGTGTTAAGTTGCTTGTCTTCCTCCAGAGCAGAACTGGCTACAGTGGGGACAGGGGTGTCTGACTGCATTACAGGAGAAGGAACATGGTGCAGCGGAGAATCCAAGAAGCAAAGCAGTAGTCCATGTGTGTTGTGGCCCTTGTGCTGCTCAGATACCTGCTTATTGATTCCTGAGTTCACTCAGCTTCAGTGGGGAATGGGAGATAACTTCCCTGCTCTGCCTGATTTGCCCACTGTGCTGGGGATAGGGAAAATGCCTCCCAAAGAAACTTATGAGAGGAGTTATGAGCTTATGAGTCCTCTTCTTGGTGGCGCAAAGCAGTTGGGTGAGGTCCTTCAACAATCTTCCTTGCTTGTGCAAAAAGTCAGAGCCCTAGCCATGCAGGCAGGAGCTGTGTGGTTTGTACTCTGGGCTTCACATCTTGCTTCTGCCACAGACTTTCGGCACAATCTTCATCACTACATGCTTCGATTCCTCCACCTGGAACACAATACTCATAATTAGCCTTGTTTCCTTCATAATGGGATTGAATGAGGTGAATTCATAAGCAGCCTTTAGAGCTGTGCCAGAACAGTGTTTGGTACTAATGTTGCCTGTGTTCCTGTGTGAGACAAGTCCTCTTTCTCAGAGAAGGATGGTTTTCCTGGATAGGACTAAGGTACACTGAGATGTCAGTGGAAAGATGCAAGTAGGATACTCAAGCATTGAGACTGGCACCAATGCATTCCTGCTTGCATTCCTGATCAGAAACAGAATCCAAATGAGCAAATTAGCATTTATATTTATGTGCTCTGCCCAGCTAGACGTGGTTATGATCCTTTAGGCAGGGCATTTTTAACTGGCCAGAAGAGGACCAGCCCACAATTTGCAAAGCGTAAGAACCCAGGACCTAATTCTGCCAATGGCCTTGGATGCCTTTTGGTTCCTGACATCCCAGAGGAACCGGCCTGCATTGTGAATTTCATGGTCTTTGCTTCTGACCCTCTTAACACTATGCATTGCACCTAAGGGGCTATTTTACATCACTTACTCATAATTAATAGAGAGGCTTCCCCTGCTGTCCCAGAGGGCTTTTTCCTTCTATCCAGCTTTTGCAGTTTGAAAGCTGAGGAAGCGATATCTGGGAGCCACTGTTCCTCCTTGAAGAACAGGGCTCTCAGATTGTTGAGATGACTGACAGCTCATGCTGGGCATTGATGTAAATGCAGGGAGCTAGTTCACCTCCAGAAGTCTTTTTTTGGGGTGTGGTGAGAGAAATCATTCATTTTGACCTTGGTGAAACAAATAGCAAAGCGTCCTCTGACTTTAGGAGGGCCAGGATTTTTCCTTAGATCTTTGATCCCAAGAGTGCTACAAAGGTGGGGAGCATTTCCTCAAAAGCAGGGAGGAAGCCCAAACAGAGCATTGTTCCCCACTTCTCTATGCTGAGCAGATACTGGGAATGGGGTAGGAGGTAATTCAGACACTTCCCAGCAAGGCCTGTCACCCTTGCATCTTCCCTAGAAATCTCTAGGCTCCTCTGGGCTGCAGTGACTCCCTTACCATGGGTGTCTCTTCACTGCTCCCTGAGGGCTATGCAGGACATGTAGCTGCTGTGCTTTGTAGCACGTAAGGCTCCAGAGGTCAGGATGGCTTTGTGCCTCTATCCAGCTGGCCAGTTGCTTCCCACCAAGAAAGTAGCTCCCAAGAAAGCAAGCCAACAAAGTCTGGGGGCTTGCGAGAGGGAGAGCAATGCAGGCAGAGAATCATTGTCTCTGAGAGCTGTGAGCTGTGCAGAGTGAGGGACAGCTGTGTTCGGAAAGGGAAGGTGTGTATCCAGCCAGAAGGGCAAATGTGAGGGAGAATCTGGAGAGGGACAATGGGAGCTTTGCCCCCTCCCATGTGCTGCCCATCTGGTGTCCACTGCTGCATGTGGCTCCAGAAGATTTCTTGAGTCCAGTGGGTCGTGGAGCAGACAGCTCTTAGACTATCGCTAGCAGCGGGTAAGGAGGAGCGTGAAGTGTGAGTGTGAAGGGCTTGGGGTGGGGGACATTTGGCCTGTGGTGTCCTGACAGCATGTGCTAAATATTAATGTGATATTCTTAGGAAATGAAGACTAATAATGCTCAGCTGCATGATTTAACAAGTAAAATAAAGCTCAGGTAGCAAGGCAGGTGCAGGCTCATAAATCATTTGCTCAAGTTCTCCATGCCACATGTGTGCTTGCTTATGTTTGTGTTCTTGTGTGGTAAAGGCATGTGTGTCAGTGCATGTCCATCTGCTCTGCACTTGGAATTATGGCAGGCACATCCTGACTGCTGGATTCTGGCTCCAGTTGGACATGTACAAATATGGCTTTCTTACTCAGATGTGTTCTCTGATCACTGTGCAGCCTCAGGTGATAACTGGAGGCCAGAAGAATTTGTATTTCCAGAGTTTGCTGTGTAAGCCCAGAACCCCCTTGCTATCCTGTTACTCGCTTTCTCCCTCAAATGGAAGAGGTTAAGTTTGACCATCCTTTCTGTGCATTCCTCTAGAGGACAGAGCTCTTTGTCTGAGACCTGTATACAAAGTTTAGGACCCCACAGGGATGCATCTCAAGGTCTTCAGACCTGTGTGGTTGAGTTTAAGCAGCTGTGGGCTCCCTCTGCTTGAGATGCCTTTGATATTTTGTTCATCTTTGATGGCAACAGGGGACTTAGAAGGATTAAAGTGGTGGTGTCCTGTTTGTGGAAGTGTCTGGGTGTCCACTTCTCTGCAAGGAGGACCATGCTGCCTCTGTCTCACTTGGGAGACCTGCTGTTTCTGGAAGAAGCGGGCAGAGAATCCTGCTGCTCTTCTCCAAGCCTCCGCATCTGGAAAATTTCTTGTATCTTGTTTTATTCTCTTTACCCATATCTTCCAGAACAGATGAAGATCAGCCCCGAGACCCAACCTCATGTTGGCGGGGGTCCCTCAAAGTCATTGGAGCTGGCAAGGCCTCTGGAAATGGGCAGCCCTTGACTGAGAGCTTGGTTTGACGTGGGCAGAGGGAGAGTCTTCCTGTGCCTGCCTAAGGTGCTGTGTCAGGTAGGCAAGAGAGGAGCTTGGCCGAAGATGTGGGGTGCAGGGCAGCACACATGCTTGATCTTACCCTGGGCAGCCCTTCTTCCTCTTGTGCCAAATGCTGCTTCTAGACTTGCACCAGTACTGACCCACATCACTGTGCTGATGTGGGCAGCTCTGCTGCCACTGCATGGTGTTTTGGCCCTGCTGTGAGTGTGTCACTCCACTGTGGGTCTGTGGCCCTGTGGGGTGCACTCACAGGTTCAATGGGGCCAGCCGGGGCTCACCACCTTGGGGGTTGGCCCTGGGGTGAAGTCCCTGAGATGGGGGGAAGGATAGGGATGGACAGATGGGTTGAGGGGGCCCCCTCCCCAGAGATCATATCGAAATGTCTCTATTGTGCAAAGCAGAGGGAATGCCCCCAAGAGCTGATTTCCATGGCAACCGCAAATGTCAGGTTCCATGTGGTGAAAAACCGTTTCCATGACAACACCTCCTTTATCCTAGGTGCTGGGAGCTGGAGTGACAGCCCTGTTGGGGGAGGGGACAGGGAGATGGCCTCAGGTGCTTAACCTCCCCCTCACCTCCCTCGCCCCCCCCCATCCTTCTAGACTCCTTGCCCTCAGCCCCAGCATCCCTGGGTGGGTGGTGCTGGAGGGGGGTTATGTGTGTGCCCACTAGCTCTTGGCTTCTACAGCAGCCTTTCTGCCCCTCCTACCCCCAAATGGCTTTGCTCCTTGTAGAAGCTGAGATCTGAGTCTGTCCCTCTGTCTCCCTCTCCATCAGTTTAGTTTAGTTCTGGTTTTGCATCCTGGGTAGAAACAAAACTATTTCTCAGTGCTGTGGGAGCAGTGGGGAGTGACATGGCCAGCTGCCCCTCTTGGCTATGCACCGAGCACACATCTGGGCTGCCTGCCCTCTCCCACTCAACCTGCTCCCAGAGCACTGCCAGCCTCAGTTCACGCAGGCATATTGCCAGGGACCCTGAGCAGCGATAGGAGCCTCTGCCTCTCAGCAAGGAAATTGGAGGCTTTGTGGAACAATCTCTGACTGCATACTTCTGAATCCCTGTCCCACATCCCACTCAGCTCATGAAAGAGATGCCAGGTCCTTGTCAGCTCTTGGGGGGAGCAGCAGCCTGGAGGCTGGTGAGTGCCAGTGCTGCAAGTGCTGGGGCCACATGGCAGTGCAGCAGGGTATTGGGAGCTCTGCAAATCCTTGTAGCTGATGAAGAGTGGGAAAAGGGACCTGCAGCCTCTCCCTCTTCCCTAAATGATGCAGCACCTCGTGGGAGATGAAGTTGGCACTGCTGCCTGTCAAGGTGTAGCATGGCAGCAGCTTGGCCTCTCTGTTCTGTGAACTGCAAACTTATTTCACTCATTTCCTCCAGCTGTTGTAAATGTGGGCTCTACCTCCGTTTTCTGGCCAGTCTGGCTCAGCCACCGCTTAGAGACAAACAGCCTTCCACATATTGCATGCTGGCTTCAAAACACATTTCAGGTGGTGACTTTTAGGGCTTGATTTCATTTTATGTTTTGTTGCTGTTTTTTCTGGGGGTGTTTCCTAAGAGAGGGGACAGACTATGCCTGGACCTGCAGCTTTTGTGCAGGCCTCACCTGCGATATTCTAATTGGTTTTTATTATGAATGTCACTGATTCTGGTCACTGGCAGCCTGTCTGAATGATGCTGAGAGACATGGAGTGAGATGTGCTGTGAATGTGGAAATTTGCCCTGTGCACCATTCCTCGGAGGAGATTCTGGCACAGTTGGATCTTGCTAGCTGGGGAGGAGGCTACAGCTTGTCAGTCGCCTCTCTGGGCAGCACAGGACATGCAGACCTGCCAGCAGATGAGAGTTTTGCCCTACTTAGCAAATCAGACAGTTGAAGCTATTGGTTCCTTAATGCAGCTACTTCTGTCTTACCTGGAGACTCCTCATATCACATGAGCTAAGCTACCCTTCAGGCTTGTTGTTTGTGGTTGGATTATTGTTGATGACACTAATGGCTGCAAGAGAGGTAAAAAGCTCTTCTCCACACCCAAGTGTGAGGAGTTTTGCCACTTTTAACCTGAGCATTGTCCCTGAGGGCCAGAGACGTTGCTTGAGAGCATCACTGCCCTTCTCAACAGCCATTCTGGTGCACAGAGCTGTCTGCATGAGGGCTGGGGAAGGGGAAACATGACATGCCTGCTTGCTGTACTGCTTCTAGCCAAGGTCAGAGGCAGTCTTTCTTCTTTTCTGCAAGGAGAGTAAGTGGCTCAATTAGGTGAGCTGGCCATGCCTGCACTGAGTCAGGCTAGACACAGGAAGAGCTTCCAGGCATAGTCTCACCTTAGGCCTTTCTTTGCCACTTGCCGCATCTTAGGAAGCAGAAGTTTATGAATGGTGAGCATTTCTAGGAGAGCTGTTGTCTCAGGCAAGCAGCTGAGCAGGGAAAAGTGCCAGGTTTCTTTTTGAAAAGTAGTTCTTTCTCCAAGAGGATGTACTGATTGCCATCACAATGTCTTGGTTCCCTTCTGTCACGCTCCTACTCTGCACAGCAGGCAGAAAGGGCACCCTGTTGCCACTGCCATCAGCACCGTGTGCTGGGCAGATGGGCCAAGCTCTAACCCTTTGCATTTCTCTTTCATTGCAGATGGCGCGCCCAATTCAAGTGAAACCCGCAGACAGCGAGAGCCGTGGAGGTAGTTGTCATCTCTCCTTGTTTCTCCTTTGGTGGCTTTGTGCTTGTGAGAGGGACCAGGAAAAGAGAGAGAGTCCTGACCCTGCCTTCCTCTACCTGCACTCTGTACGAGGAGATGTTTGTATGTGGCAGAGATCTGGGGGGGGAGGGGGGCAGGAGGAGAGCCTAGGGATAAGCTTCAACTTGATGCAGCACGCAGCTGACAGCACCCCAAATCCTAAGGGTGATAATGTGGCTGCCTACTCCGCTCTCTTTCCCAGCTCTTTCAGGGTACTATTAGCCTGACAGTGCCTATCCCAGGAGGTTACTGAAGCAGACCTGCACTTCGGTGTATGGCATGGAGGCTCCTGGAGGGTGTAAGCTGTTGGGAAGAGGTTTTTTCATTTGTACACCTGATCAACCCAATAAAAGCCAGATCCTTGCAGCAGCACTGGCTTTTCAACATGTTCAGTGCACTGCTCCACAGCTGATTCTCCTGTCTGCAGCTCACTCCTCTGCCTCCCTCATTGCTGCTGAACTGTCTCAGCCTCTCACTCTCGGTCCTGCAGCAGCCCCCATCACATTGTCAAGGCTGCAGTGCCATTGCAGAAAAGATCACATGATGGAGAAATAATTCTGAAGGGAAAGGATCCAGAAATGGAGGTGCTGCCAGCCTACAGGGGACCAGCTTGGTCAGAGCAGCATACAATGAGTTCAGAGCTGGAAGACTGGGAAAGAGAGAATCTGTTAATTTAATGGGAAGCTCTCAGCAGCTCAAGTGCCTTCCCCAGGTGGAGAGGGTTCACAACTCCAGCCCTTTCCTAATCCATTAATTCATTTCTCTGCTCTTCCTTGTCTTACTGATATATTTCTTTTCCTTTTCTCTCCATTTCTATGTCTGCCTCTCCATACCTTGTGCTGTTGGTGCTGCCCCTGAAAGCAGTTTAGTAGAGGCAAGGGGAGGATTTGTGTTGTGCTTTTTGTGCTGTGGGGCAGCATGTCCTGCATGCGATGTTTAGATTTGGAAGGCTTTTGTTTTAAATTTCCAAACAGTTTGTAGTGACTTTCAATTATTGCACTGTCAGGAACATGAGATATATTTTATAATATTTTATATGAATGTATATATTTACGGTTGTGTGATCCTCCTTTTAAAAAAATTGTTTAGGTCAGATAGATCATTTTTCCAAATAGAATATGTAACTTTTGGTTATTTACTCAAGGGATAACTTTTACTGAAGTCTGGGCAAATTTATTCTCTTGGCCTATATTGACAATCCCAGGAATGCTACATATAGTCATGCTCCTTTCGAAAAGGACTGTGACTTAAGCCTCCAAAGAAAATAGCTTTCCTAAACCACATAGGACTAGATTCATCTCACCTTATTTCAGCCCCTGGTTCAGGGTTGAGTTTAAGGTCCTTATCGGTGCTATAGACAGTATAAAGAGACCATTCCTTCAGGGTGTTTCACTGTTGAAAATGACGTTAGGAGTGGATGAAGTATTCTTTAGAGATGCCTGCAGTGGGTGTAGAGGGGGCTGACTACTCACTGACACCTCACATTGCCTCTGGATTCAACTAGAAGGTGGTCAGTCCATCCCCTACCACATTTATTTTAAAAATTTGCAACCCAGATTTCTAACTAATTCAGAAATTCTGTTATTATATCTGAGGTTACTCCTAATGAGTCTTTAAAAAAAAAAAGCATAGGAGACTAGAAAAGCCTTTGCCAGTCATCCTGGTGCCAACATCTCCGAGCCATTAGCAGTGTCAGATGTGGCTGTAGAGCAGCCCTCCCAGCCCAGAGAGACACATAGCAGGCCCTGTCTCCCAGCCCAGAGAGACAGACAGCAGGACCTGCTGCAGGGCCTCATGTGCCCCCTTGACACACACCTTCCCAGGCAGATGCACACATTCACCTTTTCCACCCTGCATTATGTCCTGACACAACAGCAGTAAAACCAGACCAAACAGACAATCCATGCTGTGAAATGACCAACCGCTGCAGCTTTGTTTTCTTAAGTTTGTGTCTTTGGTGAGTGCAAGTCTGGCACCTCTGGTGTCTACTGCTAGGCTGAGGTCATTTCTGCAGTGTGTCTTTTGCTGATGGGCTGTTACTGGCGTCTCTTCTGTACACAGCCATCTAGTATTAAGTGTTGGGACATAACATCTCTGATGCCTCAGTTTCTCTGTCAAATAGAGCTGAAACAGGCCAACAGGTTAAAAAACAGGATGTTGATTTGGAAGCAAGCTTTTGGTCAAGGCACTGGACTCTGAAATCTCTAAGCTTATGGAAAGTGCCGCATTTTCTAATGATTGCAAATGTCAGAACATCAACTCTGCTTCTGGTGGACAAGGCCGTTGAGAGCAGCAGCCTTTGGAGTCTGAACACCTGTCTCTCTGCAGACTGGGTACCTCACTTATTCATTGCAGAGCTGAAAAACAAACAGCTCCCACAGGATCCATGACAAACTGTTTTTTTTCCTGAGGCAGAAGCAGCATCAAGACAGCACCCTATGTTTGTCTGAATCAGGTTGCTCTTTTGAAATGTTTCTGTCATGATGCTCCACTTGTCAGAGAAGTGGATAAGCAACTTGGCAGATATGGGAAGAGCCATTCCCTGTAGCAACAGCCCCGCACTGGCAGGAGGTAAAAGAAAGATTTGGGGCAGGACAGAACTGCTTGGACTAGGAATTTGTCAAGGGAATAGGTGCATGGATCAGTGAAGCTCTGCTCTGCATTATCCTTTAAGGGAACATCTTTTATACTCTCCAGGGACTGACGTTTCTCAAATGAAGCACCCTGAATTAAGTACATGAAGTTAGAGCACCAGAATTTGTCTTCTGGTCTAAGTTTTTGTCTTTTGGCTAAGTTTTATGCCAAAGGGATAGTTTTGGCCAAGCCTTGGAGAGGCTGTGTAGGAGTATCTGAATGCTCAGTGTTACTGTACCCTGCAGAAGTAATTCACTAGTAAAAAGTTCCTGCCTGTATTAGTTCAGAGTGGGACTTGTGATTCTGGGGCAGGCATTGTCAGCTTTTTCCTTCTTTCCCTTATGCCTGTGGTGTGAGCATGGGAGTGCCAGGAGGAGATGGAGTGAGGGGGCAGAGGAGCTTGTCTGCTTCTTGTGAGACCTGGAGCACTCTGCTGCAGTGATGTGATATGACAGCCAGCCCAAGCCCATTAGTACTGCCTAGAGACAAGGAAGCTCTCTGCATATCCAAGGAGATTTGCTGCATTCCCAATGGCTTTAGTGGGCTTCCCCTCTCTCCCTGATCCTTGCTGTCGGCCAGATGATCTGAATCCACTGGGCTTAGAGGAGTGGTGTCCAGTGCTTGTGTGCTCTCTCCTCTTTCTCTCTCTCTCAGACTTTATGGCCTCAACTCCTTGCTTGTTCCTGTAGTTACCTTCATCAGCACTGTGCTCTGTGATGGCCCACCTCCTGCTGTCTGGGTGGCTGACTGTGCCCAGAGCATGTTTCCATGGGAACTCAACAGTCAGAGATCAGAATCAATTTTTCTGGTTGCTGGACAGCATGGGAAATTGCCAATCAGAGGGTGAAAAACAAGAGCTGTAGGGAAAGTGAAGGAAAAACAGCAGGAGGAGTGCATGCTGTTCTGAGTAGGTGAGACGAGATCTTCCAGTGCTGCAGAAATCCCTGCTGGGGAGCTGAAGGAGCCGATGACCTGCAACAGTGCCTTGAGAATGCCAGCTGGTTTGAGGTAGACCGCTTTGGGCGTGATGATAGCAGAGCTCAGGTGAAAGGGCTGGGAAGGGATGAGGCAGCCTGGTTATTGGTGGGGGAGCAGTTCTATTTGGAAGCTCACAGAAGCTAGAGGGCACCGGATCATGGGTTGAGCTCCAAGATGTGAAGAGGTAAAGGTCAGCAACAGAAGAGCCCTTGCACAGGTTCCCCAGCTGCTGCAAAGACGCATCTGAGGGGAACAGACTGGACCTTTTTCCTACGTGCAGTCTTCGGAATTGGGCTGTAAGAAACATGATTCACTGTGAAGAAATCTTTCTCTTATGTTGTCAGTGACTTCAGTCCCTTCTAATATTGCTGTTGTGAGCATTCGGAAAAGATTCTGAACCCATAGGTGTGTGTATTTAGATTTGCCTTTATAGCTTGAGTCCCTAAGGTATCGCGGTTTTAAGCTGTTCTGCATCACCAGGAAGACTAACATTTTTTTTCTTCCTAATTCAGAAAGGAAAGCTGAAATTCCCACATAAACACAGGACTTCTAAAAGGTTCTGTTAGTGAGCTGTGTCAAACAACAGAAGACCCGCAGTAAAACTGCAAGAATGGAGACTAGCATTCACTGTTTCAGTGGACTTTTCCCAAAGTGCAGGGTATAGAAAAAGGCTTTTGATTCAGAAGAAATGGTATGAGGAAGAAACCACAAGAATTATCCAGGAAATTTCAGGGCTCTCTGGAGGAGAAAATAATGAGTAACTTGTGATTTGATGTTGATTTGATTGCAAGTTGACAAGGTCCCTTTTTGGTCAGTACCTTCATTGCAAAGGAGTGGCCTTTTGCATCCATTAGACTGTTGTTTGGTGAAGACTTAAGCTTTGGGTGGCTACGGTAACCATCAGGTCTTTACACTGAACTAGTCTTCAGCCAAAACGGGAACCACTTACCCGACTCTCCCCTGGCTACCCGCTGTTCTTTCACAAGAATCTCACACAAAATCAGACCCAGAAGCAAAAGGCCAATGTTGCAAAAGTAGCATTATGTCCATGTAGCTGTGTGTTCCCGCACCTAGAGTTTCCCCCTTGCCACTCTGACCAAGACAGCCAAACAGTCTGAGGTCCCTGAAGGGAAAGGCAAGACCATCAAGTGCATTTCTGGCTATTAAATCTTAGCCCAGTTATTTGCTTGCAGGTTCAAAGAATAGAGTTATTTTACAGCACCTGAAGTCAGTACAAGTATTTCCTAGTGAATTTCTCCCCTTTGTTGATGTGTTTCTTTTAAGGAGCTTTTGTTTGCAGTCCAAAGGCAGCAGCATGGTGCACATATCTGAAATAAGACCTAGCTGCAGCTGCCACATAGATTCAGGACAGAGGAAGGGGGAACACTACAGAGCTCCTGTGTCCTCTGCCATAGCCAAACTGGGTTCACATATGACCCCAGGTGATGTCAGTCAGAGCACAGAGCTACTGCTCCTTTAGTTTCCATGCTCTTCTTCACAGTAAATATGTTCCTCTCCAGTCCCTTTTTTTTCCCCCCTCTGCTTCCAGTCAGATTTTTCATCTCTTCTGTGTGCTATTTTTTGGCTGCTTTAACCATCCGCATTTCTGAGCTAGCACCCACTTTATTACCTCCTGTGCCTTAGCTGGACATTATTGGGCATTGCCAATTGGGATGGACCCGACCAGCTGAAATAATGTCTCCAAAGGCAGCCATTGCCATGCAGGTGCAGGGAGAAATGTAGAAAGAATTGCAAGGAAAATGAAAGGGGATGAAATTCCCACAGGTTTTGTTACCCAGGGAATCCTGAAAGTGAGAAAGCTGGGAAATTTGGCCTTTAGAAAATACACAAGGCCATATATTTCAGCCACTTCTAGTTATATAAATCAGGAGTATCTGTTTGGGACTGGGTTAAGAGCCTTGGATACAGCACTTCTAACACTTCATCTCTGGTGGACACAAGTGGCACCTGTGTTCACATGTCCACCTGGTGCTAGAGGAGAGCTGTGCCTGTGTGAACCTGTGTTGGGGCTCTGTGGGGCGGTGCCACAGGATGAAGTGACTCCCTGTGGTGTCTGCGTGGGGGATGAGTGTGTCTGTCTGCACATCCCTCTTGCTTACTGAGGAATTTTGTTTCAGAAGGCACCTGCTGGGTCTGGGTCTGTGTATAAGTGTGTTCCTGGGCATGCATAAGCCTCCGTGCTTGTCCATTAATGCTGCATGTGTCCATCTGCTTTTCTGCCAGGGACCAATGACACATGTAGGTCCTGCCTGCGTGTGCTTCCCAGTGCATCTGTACTTAGCAGCTTGTTTACTTACCTGGGTAGGAACTGTCCTCTGACCAAAGGGGAGCAAGGAAGGGGCTAGGGCAAGCTTTGGTGGCAGTGTGAATGTGTAATGTGTCATCCATTCCTGCCATACATACACACCACCACCCCTGTAGCCTGTTCTGCTGCTGTAGCTCCAAGACCTGTTGTTTTTCAGGTCACTGCACTCTCAAACAGATAGCAGCTTCCTTGCTATTTCCCCTGATGTGCATCACGTTGCATTGGTTTGTTTGCAGCCAGCCCCTCTGATCCTGTCGCTAACAGTAAGGAATCCTCCCGTACGGCTCCTCCGAAGCCATATCCCAACACATTTGCTCCTATGGGTCATGTCTCCCATGCGTGTGGGGGAGAGTTAACTCAGTAGTTGACACAACTCTTTTCTTGCAAAAATGGAGATTGGGCTGGTATTTAGGCTGTTATTTTAATGTTGTGCTATTTTAATAGCTGTTCACATCAAATCTGTGGAGGATGTTGCCCCATCCAATGCTGTGTTTGTGCTTGACTGGATGGCACCAGGCAGTGTGATGAGCCCCTGAGGGTACCGATGGGGGAGCTCTGTACCTTTCTTGCCTCCATACTTATCCATCCCAGGAAAACCATAATCCTCACTTCTGTCTTCTGAGGAGGAACCCAGAAGGACTCTGAGCTCAAAGTTGTGGATGAGTTGGCCAGCCTTCCAGCTCCCTGCCGGTGTGACACGGGTACAAAATGCCATTGGAGAGGGGAGCAGGGACCATGGAGATGTTAGTTGGCCTTCACCAAACTGTCTGGTATTTGGGTGATCCTGCGGTGACACAGGTTGGGACCCAGGATGCCAGGGTTTATTCCAGGCCTTAGGAGACAGCTGGTTAGATTGGGGTGGGGAAGGACAAATGGAAACTAAGATGCTTGGTTACATGGCAGCTGAGGAAATGGTGATCCTGGAAAGAAGGAAAAGGAAACAGAAGTCAGAGGTCCTGGAATTTATTCCCTGCCTGGGTTGGTCTGCTCTATTTTCAAAGGTACCTCTTGGGTTTCACATGCTGGTCAACAACAGTATAATTGCCCAGATAGTTTTTCTTATTAACGTTTGTGTTGGATTATTCAAAGGAAGAGGCTAATGAATAAAAGGAAATTATTAATCTTTTGTTTTCTGTTGGGGAAGGTAGGATAGGGGAAGCCACAGAAACCTTTGCAGGTGTGAGGAGCTTGGGTGGCCCCTGCATACTCACCCCTGGAAGCATTTCAGCCAACAGCAAATCATTTCCATGCCAGGCATGTTTTTAACGCAAGGCTGTTTTGTGCTTAAGTGTCCCTGTCCTCCTGCTCTGGACTGACTGTAAGCCTCATAGAAGGTTGATGTTTCTGTGTTTGCCCCTAGGGGACAGGAAGCTCTTTGTGGGCATGTTAAATAAGCAGCAGTCTGAGGATGACGTGCTCCGGCTCTTTGAACCATTTGGGGTCATTGATGAATGTACGGTGCTCCGTGGACCTGATGGTAACAGCAAAGGTGTGAACCCCTCTGTGTGTCATGCCCTTTCTCCCTGCTCTGCAGGTAGCGCTCACCAACCTCACTGCTTGTGCCTCCTTTCCACTGGGGTACTTATTCCTCCACTGTATCTTTATGGGAACCCATATCACAGCCCAGCATAGGGAGCAGGGCACGAAGAATCATCTGCTGCCAGGAAAGACTGGGGAAGGTGGGCAGAGACTGAGGGAAAAGGAGGGGAAGCAGAGCACGATGAATAGCTGAGTTACCAGGATCACTAGTGAGCCTGTTCTGTCAGTCTGGGTCTGCAAGTTGAAATGTTTGTACCCACAATTAGGAGTCCACAGAGACTTTGGGGAAGAGGTAATCAGGGACAAGGGTGGAGATGGTGACATCATCTATAGAGTATATCACTGAAGTAATAATTTGAGACCCTTCCTCTTTTTTCCAGGATAGAGGACTTGGGATGAGTCATCCTTTTTGTTCCCTGCTTCCTTGGGGTGGCTTTCGTTTGCCTTGCCTGAGATACAGACACTGTCTCTTGCGTGATGGCACTTTCACAGCAGTCCTGTCACTGCAATCTCCTGTGCTCTTTCTGTCCCTTTCCAGGCTGTGCTTTTGTAAAGTTCTCATCTCACACAGAGGCTCAGGCAGCAATCCACGCACTCCATGGCAGCCAGACAATGCCCGTGAGTATAAGGCCAGGGTACCTACCCTCTTCCTAATCCTCGTCCCATTACCCTGTTGCAGGGACCTCCCCACACTCTCCAAAACCATGACAGGTTCAACTGCAGTTTCCAGTTGGTGTGGTTGGGAGGTGTGTGTGGGGATGTGTGTGTGCACATCTGTGCTCTAGTCTTAGTAACCATCCTGTCTCCTGGTCTGATGTTTGTAGCTATGTTCATCCAGACTGGTAGTGACAGCGCTTACATCTATAAAGGGTAAATAAAAGAGAGCCAAAACAAGGCCATGAATTTGTCTTGGAAACAGCTCCCTGGAGTAGTTAAAAACTGAGCAGGGTGGAAGCTAACAATTCAGCCACATGGACGGTCAGGACTTCAGTGTCTGAGCACACTCCTCGACTTCTCTTATCTAGGCAGTAGAGGAGGCCACTGGGGTGGGCTGGGTGCTGGTGGGAATGCTTTGTGTGTAATGTGGGATTGTGTAGCCATAGCTGTGCCTTCTTGTGCGAGTGGAGCTGCAGTTGTGATCTCATCTCAAGCAATCTCTAACCTGAACTGGGGCACCTCATGGGAAGGACAGTGCATTGCCTGCAGCAGGGGTATTTCCAGCTGCCAGGAACTGCTTTGCCTATCGAGCCAAGCTCATGATGGTGGAAAGATGGTGCTTGTGGCTGTCAATGACCTGAGTGTTCCTGGCCACACCATCACCTGGTGAATGTAGCCAGGGATGTGTGCACCCACTTATGCAGCTGTGCAGGGCTCAGGGTGTGAGGGGAAGGGCATGAGAGGGAAGGGTTGGATGGACGGACGGATGGGGAGAAGGGCACAGCCCAGGTTCCAGGCAGCTCCCGAGCACTTTCATGCCAATATTTGCTCTTCTGCTCCTCTTCCCACTCTGCTGCCTGTTCTGCCCCATCCTACCTTGCCTGACTGCTGACTCTCTGGCTGTCCCACACCTCTTCTCTCCTGCCTCCTGTCTGTCTCCTCTCTCTGTGCCTAGGGTGCCTCCTCCAGTCTAGTGGTGAAGTTTGCTGACACAGATAAGGAAAGGACCCTCCGTCGTATGCAGCAAATGGTGGGGCAGCTGGGGATATTCACTCCATCTCTCACCTTGCCGTTCAGCCCATACAGCGCCTATGCGCAGGCTGTGAGTATCCTGCGTGTGTGTGTGGGGAAAGGCTGCCCTCCTGACTGTGGGGCAGCAATGTACCTGGGAGACCACAAACTGGTCTCTTAACAATTGCATGGAAGTTTCCCAGCACCTTGGTACTTGCTCCTGGCTTCAGTTTCTCCAGTCAGCAGCCTTGTCTTGCACAGTCTTTGTGCGTTTCTCTCCTGGAATGGGTGGCAGGGGAGAGCTGGGACCTCCTCAAAATGAGCCTGGATTTCTCTGATGGTGGTGTAGGCTGGTGGAGGTGTATGGGAATAGGTCAAGCATGACCCAGTATCTTTCTGTCTTGTTTTGAGAACAGATCAGAGACATGATTCCTGGGCAATGTCTGCCAGACATATACCAACTTGTGAACTCTTCTTCTGGGTCAGTGGCACTAATGCGTGTCTCTCTCTCGTTTTGGAGCACCACGAGAGCCCTGGGCCCAGCTTCACAAGTTTATTTCTCTGCTGAAATTCTTAAGAGGGCCCTAATCCTCCCAATGCTGTCCTTGGCTGCCAGCGTTTTCTCACTTGGCTAGTGTGACTGTGGGGTTTGCAAGATGCTGGAGAGAGAGCAGTGGGTAGCAGAGGACCGGAGGTGTTTCAACAGTCTGGCTGTGCTTTGGATCTTAGTGAGAGAACCTCATTGCCTTGGAGCCACTGATGTTTGTGGTAGGTCCCAAACTCAACAAGTCCCATATCAGCTGCATTGGAGCATCATTTGAGTGTTCTTGGTGACTGTCATTTTCAGGTCTCTCCTGCCAAGTATAAAGCCCATGGAAGGAGGCTCAGAAATTGCTCAAGGCATGAGAGATTCTTGTGTTGATAAAGAACTCTGAAGTACATGCTGTTACTGAAAGTAATTTTGCAGCAGGGAGAGAGTGCAAATAAACCTGTTCTTCTCATATATGTGGACACCTCTTTCTCCTCTGGCTTCAGCAGCTACTTGATGTGCCTTCCTTTCATTTACCTGAAAGAGAAGGAACTGTTTCTCAGTTGTTGGCCTTTTCCTTCCAAAGATTCCCCAGAAACTGCCAAATGCCTTCTAAGTGTGTGGCAAGACCATGGACAAGAGGCAATACATATGAGGCTCCATAATGTTGGGGAATTTTGGGAACCAAACGTAGAATTTATCCAACACAGATTATTTGATTTTTCTTGTGTAATGAAGCTGAGAACAGCTATACCATTCCAAGTCTTTCAGCAGAAGCATGATTTAGAGGGAAAAACCCCTTCTGAACAGGTACTTTTGCCAGGACCCATCTTTTCTGTCCAGCCCACAAGCCAGTTATACCTGAGGTCAAAGGTTGTAGCTTAGCTCAGCTGTGAGTCACCAGATAATCATTCTGGTGTATCTTCTGCTGTCATGGAGATAGCACTAACTTGGGCATGGTGTGGTGGTGAAGGAGGCAAGAATGGACCGCATAGTGAGGTTATGATGGCAGAAAGTGTTTTATTAGCTTATGGTCCAGATGTGTAAGGATGAAGAGCAGTGAGACCTTCTAGACTCGGTCTTTTAAGTGCCCTCCAATCTTCAGGAACTCCTGCTGATGACAAGAAACCAGTCAGGTCTAAGCTGTGCTCCTTGCTTATCATTACCTTTTTTCTCCTCAGTTGTGTCTGTTACTATGTTGGTCTGTCTGATTCTTCACTGGCCTTCCTACTCTCAGACTTTGTTTTTTTGTTTCCCCTTGACTCAAGACTCAACCTCCTGCTTCTTCGTGATTTTTTCCTCCTTTCCCTTTTCCTTTCCTCTGGTTTCAGTTCTCTCCTTTTTCTTCCTGAGCCACTGACCTCACATCTGACTGTTTCTTCTCTTGTGTCAGTCCTGGTCTTTGGTCTCTCTTCTTCTGGAGGAGAGATCCTGGCCAGTTCCCATATGCATAGAGTGTCCCCATCAGAGGGAGAGGATATCAGTCCTTTGAAATGCCATCTAACATCTCTCTGAAAGTGGGGACAGAAGAGAGGCATTTCCTTACTGAATCTCCTTGCAGTACACTGAAATATCCTGCTATGGGCAGCTTTGGGAGGTGGCCACTCTGGCAAGCCAGGGCTCAAGGGAACCCCAACATACTTCATGCTTGCATGATTCTGGTCTTGGAGTAGTAGATGCTGCACCGAAGGTTACCCACAGGGCTGGGAGATGCAGCTAACCATTATGGATGTGGTTGAATCAGACTGAGAGCTGCAAGGGTGCATCATAGGCATCATAGGTTCTTATATTCATAATTTAATAAGCCAGCAACTTTCTCTCTTTGTCCCCATGGGGTTTGCTGCATTGCCACGCCAAAGCGGTCCTCAGGAGTCCCAGTTTAGGAAGAAGAAGTTTGGAGCCTGGGTTGTTTTGGTTTTGGTTTCAGCTGGATGTTTTAAATTTACATTAATTTCCTTTTTTTTTTTAAACTATCTCAAATTAAACATGAAATAATCATACACTGTGTTAGGTCTAAAATTATTCAGATCTATTCATATATGCAAAATAAGATAGTTAAAACAGTCAAACAGTACATATTAGCTGAAACAGTTTGTAAGAAGTCTCATCTGGCTAAAGATGTAAGAAGTACAACTGGCTAAACATCTGGAAGGAATTTATTGCAATGCTTAAACCAGGTTTTGATCCCAGGTGCCTCTGCAAGTGAAAAGTTAGTATTTCCTTAATTTCATTTCATTCAACAAGTTAGTTCAGATGGTGTCGGGGAAATGTTGGAGAGCTGAAAAAAAAATAATAATTATCAATACAAAAGAGGCCTGAAGTTTTAAAAAAACAGCCAGTGCAATTTACTAAGTGTTTATAATGCTTGAATATTTCTTGTATATCATAAGTCAGTTATGTTAGTTAGTTCCAAACACAAAATATAATTTGTTCACACCTCCACCCCTTTTCTTTCTGCTCTTATGGTTCATTATGGTAATTTTATGTAAGTAATGAGAACAATTTCAGAATGCCAGTTTGGTGCATATGCAGTTGGATGCAAGTCTTGGTCCAGCCAGAGCCTGGCACAGAACAGGCATTAATGACAAAAAAGAAAATCAATATTCACATAGTGAGTACGGAACGTGTTGGTTTCTGCACCCTTGAATAGGGACAGTGTGAAGACAGGACTAGGAATATGTGCAGGCTGCTTGCACAGAGACACTTTCCTCAGCAGAGTCCTGTGCTCCCAGGAAGGCCACATTTCGCCCCAGTCCTGGCTTAGGGTGAGTGGCTCCCAGTAATGTGAGTCCAGCTTCAGGAGAGTTGTGCCAAAGATGATGTGGTGGCAGAGAGGTGATAGCAGGGCACTTGCTTTCTGGAGTTGTGCAGCAGTGAACCCCTGTGCTGTCAGTCCATCTGCCCATGGAGACCCCATTTTGTGGTGTCCACCTCTCCCTAAAAAGGCCTCAACCCTGTCCCAGCAGTGCATTGCAGAGCAAGTTTCACCTCAGCGGCTTTGCTTATACCAGGTTACAGAAACAGCAATGCCATGAAATTCCTCTTTTTATGGAAGAATAATTATCAGCTTCTGTGTGAAGGAAATCAAGATAAGGTTTAGCTAGCCATGAACTTTTCAGAGTTACCAGATTCTTCAGCTGAGACCTGGGCCAAACTGGCTTGCTGACTCACCCATTTGTGGATGAGGTAGGTTACTTGAAAGCTGTGTATGTTGCAAAGCAGACAGTGGGATGTGGCAATGTAAGGAAGATTTGTGTTGTTTTCTTGGGTTTTGCCTTGTGTCACCCCTCAGCACCTCCCGAGAAAACCACAGTTTCCAAAGAGCCATACCTGTGCCTCCCCTGCTGTTCTTCCTTGATGGGGAAGACAAGGCTTATAAAGGGGCTGGATAATTTTGCATCCAGAACTAAGTCTTTGTTGCCACTGCACCCGCTGATGGTCAAATAGGACCAGAAGGATTTTTTTCTTCTTACTCCTAACCCTCCTCCCAACCTCGTGTCCCACCCCCGCCCTTCCTTTTGTACTGTGCATCTCTGCCTGGGCAGGTGTGTTATGGTGGGACCATGAGGAGCTGACATCCTCTGATCCCAGGGTGCAGGCCACTGCCAGAGGAAGGGCTGAGCTCAGTGGATCATGGAGCAGACCTCTGCTGCAAAGCATGACATAAGAGCTGGGCCTGGACAGACACCCAGTTGCACAGCAGGATGCCTGTGCCAGAGTGAGCTCTCCCAGCAGCATGATCTGCTTGTTGAGGTGGGGCAAAAGCAGAGGAATTTGGACCCTGTTCCTCAAGGCAAAGCTGTGTTATTTAATACCTGGCACTGTCCCAGGAGAAGTGATCAGAGAGAAGGGCCTGTGGGGAGACAGTGTTGCTGGGTGCCAGGAGCACACCCCTTCCCTGCTCTCTTCCTCATTGCAGGAGCTCTCTGAGCCAAAGGGGCCCATCCGGATGCCCCAGTGCACGGCTGAGTGAGCCAAAACCCCTCAAACTGCCGGCATTTGGAGGGTGAGACGTGGGGAGGGCTGCCCAGCCATGGCACTGGCTGTGTGGACTGGGATGCCCACTGAGCCGTGTCCCCTGGCTGAAGGATGGGAAGCTGTAGCTGTGCCTGGCTCTCGGAGGCTTTCACATGTGGCCAGGCCCAGGCCACTGTCCCGCCTCGACGGGCAGCCACTGCATGGGTACATGGCCGCCAGGATCTGTGGGCCCCTGGGCATGAGGACTGTCAGCTGGGCACAGCACAGGCCTTCAGAGGATGGTGCTGCTGCTGCCCACCCTGGCAGGCCTGGTTGTGTCTTCCAGGCCTGTGTGGGAAGCTCCAGGGCAGGTGGCAGGAGCCCGGTGACGCGCAATGGCAGCTGGGGGTGGGGGAGGTCGCAAGGCTGCAGCTCTAGCTTGGCCCTGGTCCTGGCTGTGGCAGGTGAAGGCAGTGGCTGGGCTGGCCTGTGCAGCCTCCCCCAGCTCCGGCACAGCCGCCATGGGCCCTGGCAACAGGAGGCCCTGGGCAGCATTGGGCCCTGACTGCACGGTCCTGCCTTGCAGCTGATGCAGCAGCAGACGACAGTTCTCTCCGCTTCCCATGGCAGCTACCTGAACCCAGGGGTCGCCTTCTCCCCATGCCACATCCAGCAGATCGGTGCCGTCAGTCTCAACGGGCTGCCAGCTGCTCCCATTGCACCAGCATCAGGTGAGGGCCTGGATGCAGCAGGTCCTTCACTGCCAGTGAGCCTCCTGCCCCAGCACTTGGCACAGTGCCCACCCAGGTAAAACAGTTCCTACAGCAGCATGTGGATTAGTTTGCTCTTTTCTAACAATGGAGCCTCTGAGCACAGCAGTCTCTAGTCTGCATAAACTTCTGCAACCTCCCTGTCACCCTCACATGCTCAATATACATTCTCTTGCCCTACTGTTGTTCATTTTCGCTGCAGTTTTTCCCTTTGATATAGTTAGAAGGACAGGGTTCCCAGGATTGCACTTGACTCTGAGGTCAGCAGTGCTATTATTCATTATCATCATCCCACAGTAATAATGCATATTTGGGTTTGAATGCCCGTCAAGAACAGGCATGCATCATGCTAGGTGCCGCACAAACCCAGATTAAAAATGTTCCATCCCAAAGCTCTGAGAGCAGTTAGGACTAGCAGTGCTGCACACTCTTCTCACTAGTGCTGCCTCTTAATTTTGTGAAGGCTCCAGCACTAGTCTGTCATCTCCACATGCCAGCTAGAAGAGATAATAGCTTCATACACAGCAGCCTTGCCAGGCAGATGGAAGGTTGGAACATGGGCTTTGTGGGACCTTGACTTTCACGGGATGCCCTCTCTTCTTGTTCTACAGGGCTACATTCACCACCTCTCCTGGGAACAGCAGCCATGCCGGGACTTGTAGCACCGATTTCAAATGGATTTACTGGAGTGGTACCATTCCCAAATGGGCATCCAGCCCTGGAAACAGTTTACACCAATGGCCTTGTGCCATATTCAGGTATTGAGAGCAGAACTCCCCACCATCCAGAGACCTGAGGAACTGCAATTAATTCCTCTTTTCTGGATTTCCCACAGAGAATACTTGTCTAGCTCCTTGCCAGGCACTGAGACTAACTTGGGGGCAGGGGGTGGGAAACAACACTACACACACACACACACACGAAATGCACGACTGATTCTGATTACGTTTTTCTCTGCAGCCCAGAGCCCTTCAGTAGCAGAGACTTTACACCCAACCTTCACAGGAGTTCAGCAGTATGCAGGTACCAGCTTCCCTTGTCTCCCTCAGGCCCTTGTGTGGCTGACCAGATCCTCAGGTAAATGGTTTGTTCTATCTCTGGACTACAGCTGTGTATCCGACCACCACCATCACCCCCATTGCACAGAGCATCCCTCAGCAGCCTCCCATCCTGCAGCAGCAGCAACGAGAAGGTGAGGTTCAGAGTTGGGACTGTGTGTGTCCCAAGACATGGGTGGGATTTGTGTAGCTCATCTTCTGCACCACAGAACCAATGGAGAGGAGACAGCACTAATTTTTGTCCGCTAATCTTTGATACTGGAACTGGGCTATGGAAACAACTACATCTCTGCCGTGAGTGGACTAGAAAAGTTCACAGGATGCTTGTTATGCATAATTCCTGAGCTTGTCCCTGACCAGATGTTGCCAGGTACAAAGGGGACAGTAGGCACCAGAACACCAAGCTTTCACATCCAAGGGATAGAGTCAGCACCTTCCCTACACAGTCAGGGGAAAAGAGCACTCCCTCTCTATCTTTACTGATGCCAGAACCACAGTGGTACCAGTCAAACTAGCCTCTCCCAATGTACTTTCCTCTCTTTTCAGCCTTCATAGCCTTCTGAGTTTATTTTTCAACTTATTTTAAAATTGGCCTTAATAGAATTTGGAGGCAAAGGCATTCTCTCTCTGCTCCTGATTCTTACAGCAGGTGTCAGGGAGGGAGCAGCTTCTTGTGCTCATCAGGCTCACAAGGAGCAAGTGAAGGAGTAGACAGGACCAGGTCAGCCCATAAATGGGATGTATGGCAGGCGAGGATTAAAGCTGTAGCTTATGGACTGAAGGCAACCACTGCCTTAACTGTGGGCAGGGAATGCCAGAGGAGCAGCTTTCACGTAGCAGTGTCTGCTGCTCTCCTAGGACTGGGAGAGCTATGAACAAGGAACTCTTACCTCAGCTGAGTTCCTTCCATCAGAATAGCACCCAGACCATCGTAGAGTTGTTGTGTCCAGCACCCTATCTGGGAACTAGATAAGCTTTGAAAGTGAAGCTGCTCTCCAGAAACTTCAGCTTTGTATATTACCTCCCAGTTGCTCTTAGACAGCCCTCAGAATCCTTTGGGGAGCGGAGGCAGTGCTAGGGTTCTCCAGTGCTGTGCTATGAGTTGAGCCCATTTTTCTTCCCCTTCCCTTTGGGGTTTTCTGTTTTGTCCTTCCCCACTGCCCCCATATCTGCAGGTCCTGAAGGCTGCAATCTCTTCATCTACCATCTCCCTCAGGAGTTTGGAGACAACGAGTTGATGCAGATGTTTCTGCCCTTTGGCAATATCATTTCCTCTAAGGTATTCATGGATCGTGCCACCAACCAGAGCAAGTGTTTTGGTAAGTGCTGACACCAGCAGGTGAGGGAAGCATGATAGATACTGATGACAGTTATTATTGGGCATGGCACCAACAGTGCCGTTGTTATCCATGCCTGTGTCCTGTCCTTCAGGTTTTGTAAGCTTTGACAACCCATCCAGTGCACAGACTGCTATCCAGGCTATGAATGGCTTCCAGATTGGCATGAAACGCTTGAAGGTTCAGTTAAAACGACCCAAGGATGCTAACCATCCCTACTGACAGCAGTAAACAAGCAGGAGTCACTTCTGCAGCACAAGGTAAAGCTGGCACCATCATAGCACAGTTCTGTACAGTGCTGGCCAGTGTCAGGACAGCAAGGTCTGGAAGTGGGGAGCCACGAGCTGAAGGCAATAGTACAGCTAGTGGGGCAGTGGCCTCACCTGCCAGGGCCCAGCCCCAGCACCCGAGCAAGGTGACCAGAGCAGGCCCAGAGATGATGGCCAGGTTCAACAGTCTAGATTATCAGGCAAATTTGTGGCAATGAGGCAAGCCCAAAGGCAAGCCAGAGTGTCAATCTGCAGGTCAAGATCAGGATCACATCTGGTGAAGGTAAATAGGGTCAAACATAGTGCAGTGATTGCCAGGCAGGTCTATAATGTCAATAGTAAACAGATCAAACATCAAGATGGGAAGACAATCCAAGGGTTGAAGTCCAGGTAATTAGATCCATGGACAGGACATGTCCGTGGACAGGTGGAGACTGGAATTTCCACAATGTAGATCAGACAAAGGCTGATGACACAGGCCTGAGCTATAATGAGACTTGAACCTGTGGGCAGGGTGGACAGAAATTGCAGGTGAGGCTGGTCAAGTTCATTAAGGCCTTTTAGTGCACTCAGGGCCCTGACAGGCAGATGGGTTCTGTTTGTGGTCTAAGCAAGGTTTCAGTCTACTGTCCAACTGCTCCCCCAAAGCTTTTGTCTGCCTAAAAAGGTTTTAAAAGCCAGTTTTCAATTGTTACGTGGGCCTGAAGTTAGTCTGCAGAGAATGCTTTCTGGGGTAAGAAGGGATAATCCCATGATTCACAGGGATCACAGATAAGCAGAGAAAAGGTGAGACCCTTAAGGACCACAGAAGAGCTGCCTGACACAACAGCTGCTGCCAAAGAGCTGGCTTCTGCCAGCCTACAGACAGGGAGCAAGGGACGGCTGATCTGATTTGGGTCATAGTCCTTCATGTTTAAGCAACAGCAACTCAAAGCCCGAGGCTTGTATAGATGTCCTCCTAATCTCCCAATTCCCTCCCTCCTCCCTTTCTGTTCAGGTGAAAGGAAAGTCCAGAGGAAGAATTTCTGCTTCAGGTTGATTTACAGAAAGGCCAGTAAATTTATCGACTCTTGACACCACCCCTTTCCTTCCTCTGCTTCCCACCTACCCACCCTATCTTCCTCTTCCCCTCCTCTCCAAGACACGCAATTAAAGAGAAGGCTCAATATCTGCCCAGGAGGAAGATTCTTGCCACGACCGACTCATATTTGCTGCTAATGTGGTGCATAGCAAAGGGACCAGCAAACCAGCAGCCCCTGGGGACATAAACCTCTTCCTCTTGGGGTATGGCTGGAGTACGTGGACCAAGAAAACCCACTGGTGTGTCTCTAGGTTAATGCAGTGATGTATGGAAGTTTAGTCCCCTCCCTCCCTCCCTCTTGCTCCGTTTCTGGCCTTTTCATAGACAAATATACATATATATACAGTCTCTATTTTTTTTTAAAGTGGCTCACAGGACCAAACTTTTCAGACTGACTGCTTGCAAGAGGTATTGGACGTTTGGGGTTTACCTTTGCAACAGTGTCTTCTCAGCACACACTGCAGGTAGGCCTGAACATTTTGAGAGGATGCTTGGGGAGAGAGAGGGGGAGGGTGGCAGAGGGTAGGGAGAAAGAGAGGATCATCTCTCTGCTCAACATTAGCAAGAAGGAGCAGAAATACATACCTCCAGGATTAGGGCACAGTCAGATGCTCAGCTCAAGTCGCTCATCCACTGTAGCACCAGCCTGGTTAAGGATCTCAAGAGCTCTCAGTCTTACCTTTCCCAGGGCTTCTGCAGACAAAGCTCCTGGAATTTGGTGCCAGACCCCATCCTGACAACTCCCTGATTAGACTGAGAGCACAGGAAACCAGTCACTTTACCTACAGGAACTGTACTGCCTCCCCACACATGGCACAGATCTGTGTTTCATAGTTCTCCATGGTAACAGCATTTTCTTGATGAAGGCAAGAGAAGATAACAGTGTAAGCAGATGCAATCTTCAAAACAGTTACAGAATCCTCCTGGGGGCTACACACTGCCTCCCCGTGTCAGATAAGCTAACGCTTTCCATAAGCTGTAAAATGTGTTGAGGGGGTTGAACGACATAGCAGAGCTGCTTAGTGAGCTGTACTTATTCCCAGATGAAACAGGACGTTTTCTCCCTCTGAATTCAGCAAGAAGACTCACCTCACGCACCCGTTTGCAAAGCTTTCCCCAGCAGATGCAAGGATAATATGATGAAAGAGGGTTGTCATTCTGTTTTTTCATTTTTCCCAGCACTCCCTCCAAGAGACTGATAATACATTATGCAGCATATATATATATATATATATATATAACATATATATATATATATATATATATAGGGACAGCTATATGC